CCACCTTTATCGCCACCCCCCTACCCCCGCCGCTGACTTTCTCCGAGGGGGTTTCTGCCTTCAGACGTAAAACTGAACACATAGAACGTGAGAGGAAATACGAAAACATATGGTTCAATGAGGTCACCCTCTGTGCCCCCCCCTCCGCTGCCCTACATGCTAATTTCCCTTTTGTTCCCCCTTAATTGGAGCACAAATCCATCAAACAGACCAGGCTGACATTGTTGTCTGCATTTATAAAGTAGCCCGTCTCTGGCAATCGACGCGTGACGTGCATCTGCACACATCTGCCCCGAACATTTTATGACACCATTCTCAGAGTCGGAAGCGGCGATACGGCGAAAAAAAAACGATCGGGGAGAACCGAGCTGGACTTCAGAGCAAACGTGACAGCGGAATTGCGAACCGTTTCGAAAAACTTTGTCGACAGCAAAAGAAGCGATTTGATCCGCTTCAGGAACTCGTCAACGGGAAGCTCAACCCATATTTATAACGTGATTTGTAGAATATAGAATGTTGACATCAGCTCTGATAATGCGGTAGCTCTGCAGTGGACAATGAGGGCGGGCAGATTGGTAGAAATGTTAGCTTGAATCTTTAGCCAGACAGAACTCCAGAACTTGGTGCTCCAGTGCAAGACTGAAAAAAGAAAAAGAGGACTAATGTAGGAACATGTATTAGCTTCAAATGGTGGAAGTAGAGATGTAAGATGTAAATTTCTGATACACACAATACCTAAATCATAAAGAATGAATACTAAAGTTTTGCGTTTTTAAGCAAATCCAGCTAATAAACGGACATGCCAAAACTATATTCTTGTATATATATATCTATATGCACACAGTTATGGATGCCTTGCCAGACTGAAACAACGGCGCTGTATCATAATGACATATCTGTAGATCTGTGGATTAGGATTGAGCAGATGACACAGGCTTTGGCCTAGATTGGACCACCGGTCATCCATTTTAATGATTTTCTTTACAGGATTTCACATCCATCCATCTCGCTGTCTGCACCTCTATCGACAGCACGATGCCATCTCTATGAGCAATTCCTGTTGTGGATGTCATGAGGTTTTATTGGATGATTTGAAATGCGCTCGCTGGGCGACGCATTCTTTCATTTCATCTGCGTCATGTTGAAATGCAGCAGGACTCCTGAATGTATAAACCTACGTGTTAAGACGAATGGTGAAGTGCTAGATTACTTTTCTTTTGTCAAAGAGAGTCGTGATGCACTTTTAATCTGTGCAACGTTGAAAAAAAATGGTACGAAATTGCAGAAATTATGAGGAGCGATGACCTTAAACTTGAAAGGACTGAAGAAAGTAGAAGATCACACATATATGAAACTCGCTCAATACTGGGAGCCTCAATGCTTCTTCCCATCAGACAAAAGGGCTTTTTCTTTTACTTTGTTTTTTGAACAACACGTGTACTCCCTAAAAAGATTGTGTTCTTTCACGATCAATCAGCCGTCCTCCCCCGCTGAACCATCTCAAAAAATCCCAGCAACTCCAGTTTTCAACCTTTTGCAGTGCTTTTATTTAGTCATTTACACACTAGTGGCTTCGCATAAAAGCAGAGTGTCTTCGCATGAAAGGGATGGAAAGGTGGGGGGGGGGTTGGAGGGGGTTGAGCGGGGTCAAGAGATAAGAGAGCACAGTTTCAAGTTCTTCAACAGCAGTCCTTTTTTTTTTTTTGTGGAGAACGCAGAGCAGTGGCAGGGAGGTAAGCGGGCGCTGGGGGGGGGGGGGGGGGGGGGGAGGGGGGGGGGGGGAGCCATTTTGTGCACTGCGTTGTCCAGCCGAGCGTAAAGCGTGATTAATTCAATAGCCGCCATAGAGGAGGAGGCTAGCAGCGCCGCAACGCCGAGCATGACCCACTTTCCCCGTCAGATGTCACGAAAATTCCCCGCATCTCTTTCTTTCCCCAACTTCCTGCCCGAGCGGCGAGCGGGGGACAGGGAGAAAAAATGCAAAAGACCACCAGAAAAAAAAAGGCCCTGAACGCATCAGAAGTTGACACATTAGCACCCCTACACCCCAACATCCAGAAAACTCTGGATCTGGTCATTTCAGAAGTTCTAAGAGGGTGTTTAGGGCTAGAGAAGGAAACCAGGCCCAATTTATTTTTTGTAAAAATCAGAAATTTGCCGAAGGTTTTTTTTTTTTTTTTTTTTTTTTTTTTTTGCCCACTGGCGCCAATGATTCAAAGGCCCTTGACCTGATTTTGTTGCGCTGCAGAATGCACGAGCAGAATACAACTATTAAAATGCAGCTCTCCATGCTGACCTGGTTCCTCTTTGGAGTCCAGAAAGCTTGTTTTATTTATTTTTTTGGCTGCTGACCTAAATCTGAGGCTGAATTTCAGTCTTAATCACAGGGATGAAGGCTCTTTGATTTTTTTTTTTAAGAGGGGGAGGCTTGCTCATTATCTTGCAAAAACGCACAGAAAACAAACAGAGACTCATCAAGTTGTAGCTCAACTTTTTAAAAAGGACGAAGAGGGAACCATCTTTTTTTAAACAAAAACTCTCCTTTGAAGTTTGATAAGGGATGATTCATCAGCTTTGCTCTCATCATCAATCTTGGATGTTTTTTGGGGGATTTTTTTATTTATTTTTTTATTTATATAACTCCATGGAGAGGACCTGCACCACTGGCTTGGGTCTTAAACCCGGATTAAGGCTTTTTACGTAATCTGGTCTCCTCTGGGAGATTGGAGAGACAGCTGGCTGCAGAATCCCTGTCCCTTATCTCTCCAACCACCTCTGGCCTCATCCAGTGGTAGATTAGAGAGGCCCAGGGTTGAATTTACAACCGCAAATTTGCAAAATATATGAATTTCAAAGCACATCGGGGATTAGTTGGAAACGCAAAGCATGCACGGTACATTAGTGCAATAAATCAACTGGAGCATCGGGAGGTGGACCGATAATACAAAAATTGAGCCGTTTTCATCGATTTGTCGCACACAACGTGTCCTCTGGTTCGTCTGCATCATAAACCACGGGAGATTAAACACAAGCAACCTAAAATTACTGATAAGGTTGCAAAAAAAAGTCGATTCATTGACACGTGGACGGATTTCATCCACACGCGTTGGACAAAAAACCGTGTCCCGCACAGATAAAAAAAAGCAAACACGCTCTGAGCATTTATCGGTAACAACAGGAAAAATGCCACACCGAGCTGGATTTCTGGGAGTAGTTACACTCTAAATAGTCCCTATCAGCATCTTTAAATTACATCGAAAGGTCCCTAGTTTGGCTTTCTTTAATGGTTCACCCTAAGGTTCAAATTTTGGTTTTATATTTCTATGGTGATACTCACAGAACATATCACTAAAGTGTTCTTCGGAGGGAAAGAAAGCAGAGTGGTTTTCATTTTCACTATCCTAGAGCTGAGAAGCAGGAAATGGAAATCCGGGCAACATATATATATATATATATATATATACTAACTATATATATATATATATATATCTACTGACTGTGATTGGCAGACAGTGACTTTATCTGTCTCTTCTGTCAAGGTTAGCCTGCTTCAGGAGCTTTTCAGCCCGCATTTATTGTTTTGTGTGCACGTGCAGTGGAGACCGAAATCCTTTTCCGGGGAAAGCAGATGTTGACTGGCGTCACATTAGGCGATGCTTTCTGAGCCGGTTTGTTTTTTAACCGCCACAGCCCACACATCCAGCTCACGTTTTTCAGGTCATTTCAGCAGTTTGATTGAATTCCCTTTATTTCTCCCCTTTTGAATCTGATGACGACCGTGATTTATGCGTTCCTTTCATTTGTAAAAGAAAAAAAGGAGGAATTTCATTATTCATTTTCATTAGCTCGTTACTCATTGCTCCAACCTGCAAGAAGGCCGGGCTCCAAACATCTGCGCCCTCTCAAAGTGGAGATATTTCTAAATTGTCTAATAACGGCCGGGTCACGTTAAATCCGTGTCGGTATCTCTGATTTCTGCATCCGCGTGAAGACTTTCCAGCTGCAGATTAAAAAAAACCTTGATGGAAACAGTCTCATCCTCTGTCAGAGACTGTGAACACAGGCTGAGGCGCCCTCTTGTGTTTGATCTCAGCACTGCAGGTCCTGCCTGAAACATGACATCATTCATCAGGCAGAATTAGAGGCAGGCAGCCTGATAAAAATAAATATGGCGCTCGTCATTTGATGGCTCATTCTTCCACCGAAGAGGCATTTTCCTTATTTTTTTTAATGGCTTTGACTGCAGACAGAAACCACAGCTCACTTTCTCTCTCTATAACCGTGTTAACACGTTGGAAGGAAAGTTTCTTGTTATTTTCTCTCTCTTTTTTTTTGGAAACTGTTTTATTTTTAGCCTTTTTTGGTGTATTTTTTATGGCAAAGGAGAAACACAGACCCAATGAAGGAATCTGATAATTTAAAAAAGGATTTAAGTATCTGTTTTATGCCAGATCAGAGCCTGAAATGTAACTTTCTCTCTTTTTTTTCCTAAAAAGCATTGATAAATGATGAAAATAAAGAAGCAAATGATAATATCTCAATACTTTTTTGCCACAAAACTCTAAGCAAAACATGATAAACGCGTTGGCTGACACGTTCCGTCACTATCAACCCAAATCTGTTAGATTTTCCCCTTACGCAGTTATGCCGCTGCAAACACTCAATAAATGAAAAATTATTGCTGATAATTCCCCACAAAAAGTAGTTTGTCATCAGCTGGGAAAGCACTCTTTGCTCTGTCTTGTACTCATTCAAATGTATGCATTCAACATAATTCAGTGTACAGAAATGACCATAAAAAGAGAGGTCACTTTGAATATAAGCCAACAGAACATAAAAATCATGTTTGTACCACTCACCTCTTGGCCTGATCGCTGGTATCTGCTAAACTGAAACCTGGCAGGTGACCGGTTGGCTGACTACACCATCACACTCGCGTTGGCCCTCGATCTCCTCTCTGACCACGTGACCACGCCCCTTCCTTCACATCCAATCCCGACATGGAGCCCATCAAGGTCCAATCAGAGGGTGGACTGAATGTGACCCTAACCATCAGGCTGCTGATGCACGGCAAGGTACAGAAGCACTCGTCATCATTTTACCGTTCCCTTTCGTTTAAAAAGAAGGTAAACATCTAACTTCTGTTGTGTTTTCGTGTTTATCTAGGAGGTGGGAAGCATCATAGGAAAGGTATTTACTAAAACCTGCCATGTAAAGCATTTCAAAAAGCCTGAAGGAAATGAATGAAATTCCTTAATGTTATTTCTTTTCTTTACCTCCAGAAAGGGGAGACGGTGAAGAAAATGCGCGAAGATGTAAGAACAATGAATGATATGTGACATTCCGAATAATGGCCTAATTTCCTACTCATGTGTACGTTTCTTGCCTTTGTTGTTGTTGTTGTGGCCCTGCAGAGTGGCGCCCGCATCAATATCTCAGAGGGGAACTGCCCTGAGCGGATAGTCACCATCACTGGGCCAACAGATGCAATTTTCAAGGCCTTTGCCATGATAGCCTACAAATTCGAAGAGGTAAATAACAGGCGAATAAAAGTTTACGTTTTTTTTGTGTTTATGAAGCTAAGTGTAAAAAATCAGTTGAAGATGCTACTTTTTCTTTTATTCATGAATTGTAAATGTCTATTTTTTTTATTTAACATTCGTTTTATAATAAGAAAATACAATCACATTAAAATAAAGAAGAGAGAGATCGGGCATCTGGGCCTGAGGTGCATCTCACCTAAAGAGATCTGTTTCTTTGAGTTTACTGGTTCATTTGTGTGTAGTCGAATTTAAACTTGGTCTCAGTCTTTATAAATTCGATTCCTCTTTCTTGTTTTCATTTTTCATATTCTAAATCCTGTCTTGTAGTTTGTTGTTGTTGCCGTCGTGTTTTCCATTTTGTGGAATGGTTTTCTCTGTTTTTCGCACAACCGATTTTAGTTTTTTTTTGTTTTTGTTTTTTGTTTTTGTTGCTCCCTTTTTGGTTTGGATGCTGTTTTTTTTACCGCTGTTTGGGTTGGCACATGGGGACTTTATTTGCCATCAATATCGTTTCACACAACCGAGTATAGAAATATATCTTCTAAACAAATTACAGGAAATCCTCACATTGGGGAAGCTAATACCATGAAGAAAAAGAAAAATCCTTGTGCTACCACACAATAATCTTTTTTTTATGAAACAAGGGCGGAAATTTCAACCGTCCCTCTAAAAGTTTAGGCTGACTGAAGTGAATGTATTTTAGTCACTGCCCACCGCTGGACCACCTCTGGTGAGTGCGCTGGCTAGCTTCCAGATCGAATACAAAGCAGGCCCGGCTGAATAGCGTAGGACAGAAATGTGCTGATCTAACCTTGCAGCACCCTCTGAAAGTGGGCCAGTACTGTGTTTGGATTCGGGGCCTCAGATCGGTGTGCGACTACATTACCGCCGATGCCAACCAATCACTCACTGCACAGGGACGGTTTTTCTTTTCAAGTACGACGCACACAGAACAGAGGATTTAAGGGACAAATGTGGCGAATACGCATCAGGAAATGACGCTAATCTACATTTGAAAATCCCCAAAATAAGACAAGATGTATCTAGTACTGTGGCATAAAGCATATATCCTAAAAAACAAAGTGCACTACTTTTATTTGACTTCATTCCTCCACTATTTCATTTAAACGGGAATCGCTCTGTTTTTCCTCATCAGCATTTATTGGTTAATACACATAACAAAAGGTTTAAACTGTTGGACGGATATAACATGACAAGATAAGAAATAGTAATCCGTTTCCTAATAACTAGAAGGATGGCGTGTATTATTTTGTTGTGTCGTAAATCAACAATATGAAAGCTCTTTTCCCACTAGGCGAAAAAACCTATCCGGTAAAAACGTGGTTGTGTCCGGTCTGTCTGCCCCCTGCAGGACATAATCAACTCCATGAGCAACAGTCCGGCCACCAGTAAACCCCCCGTGACCCTGAGGCTGGTGGTCCCCGCCAGCCAGTGCGGCTCCCTCATCGGCAAAGGAGGCTCCAAAATCAAAGAAATGAGAGAAGTAAGCAGCAACTCAATGAACTCTAGAAATTTTAAGGCATTTCTATGTGCAATCTCGTACGACATTCCCCATTAGAGTCATTTCTTTGGATCCCGTGTGTATGGATCGTATCGTTTCCGCTCTGCTAAACGAAGATTTCGCTCTTTGACGTCATTTTTGACGTTGTTTTTCTACTCTTCCCCCCCCCCGTGTCCCCATCCCCCCCCCGCCCCCGTCCACCGGAGCTCAGGTCCAGGTGGCCGGTGACATGCTGCCCAACTCCACCGAGAGAGCCGTGACCATCTCCGGGGCGCCTGAAGCCATCATCCAGTGTGTCAAACAGATATGTGTGGTGATGCTGGAGGTAAACGGGGGACGGGGGCGGGATGGGGACACGTTCGGGGGGAAATTGCGAGCATTATTTACTCTGAAATGCCCCATATGGACTATACAGCGTATGTGAAAATGAAATTCAACACAAGAACCTGTGCATCAAACATTCCTCCATTCAGACCAGTAACTTACTGTACGACAACTGTCCTCAACTCCCTGCTTTCTACTTCCTGTTTCTTAATGACATCACCATGTACCAATCTATGAATAACACTGGGCATTTTGGGAGGATTTTTCTTTTTTTCTTTTAAATTTTCAGGTGTAAGTAGAAACACGTAGGACAGAAACGCCACATGTTCTTAATCTCCTGTTAAACATTTTAATAAAAACAGCACAGGCTCTTTAAATGGCTGATGCTAAACTAATATGTTGTAATTTTGGCGACACGACGACAAAATTGTCAAGCTGCATGTGACAAGAGATGTGCGGCTCCTTTATTCCCATTAGAGATTAATCAATAGACGTACATTTAGCCAATTTTGACTATTTCCTTTAACCTCTTTGTGCCTTTTTTTGTGTCATAATTAATCAATACTGACTTGGATTGCAGGTTTTACACACGATTAGATGTTCTGTTCTTCTGCCACGATTAATTTAACTTATTTGTACAGCCAGTTCTCCGTTGTGGCCTTCATGATGGCACCAACCATGGATGCTAGGACATTTATGACACGACTGTAAGTCTCCACGGAATTAAACTTTAGAAAAAAAAGAAAAAAAAAGAAAAGACGTTTCAAATGCAGTTTGTTCACTCATCATTATCCAGTTGAAAGCGATGTCCCAGGTATACTCGAGTTTAGTCGATCACTGAACCACAATTTGGACATCTTCCTGTCGGCATGAGCGCACAGCCAAAAGAGCACTTGTGTCACAGGTTGTCTTCCCCTAAAGGCACCGTCCGTCCCTCCTGGTCTCACTTTATGCCACTTCTTTTTTCTCTCTGTTTTTCTTCTTTCTTCCTGCTTTAACACTCTCTCCACGTTTCACCCCCCCCCCCCCCCTTCCCCCCCCCCACTCTCTCCGCCTCTGCTCTCCTCAGTCCCCACCGAAAGGTGCCACCATCCCCTACCGCCCCAAGCCTGCCTCCACCCCTGTCATTTTTTCAGGTGGCCAGGTAAGAGCAGACCCGCTGGGGGCGTCCACAGCCAACCTCAGCCTCTTACTGCAGCACCAGCCACTGCCTGTTAGTGTCGCACCAGGTTTTACTCACTCTTCCGCCTTTCCCTCACTACCCCCCCCCCCCCCCACCCCCACCGGTGACCCGTCCTGACTAGCATGAGTCTGTCCCCCCGCTGTTTTACTGTCATCCATCACCTCCAGCCACTCAAAGCAGAACTGACACAAACAATTAGTCTATCGAGACAGCGCTCTTTTTATTCTAACAAAAGTCAGTAGTCTGACAACCCGGCAGGTTTTTTTTGGGAAACAACCTTCTTCCTAAAATACCGACAGTATATAAATCAAATGAATTTTTAAAAAAAGTCTGAAAACGATTCAAGCGTGTTTTAAACTCGCCAAGACAAAAGCAGAATGGTTTGAACTGTCTTGGTTTTGATGCTGAAGCAGGTAAAGGCAATGTATGTTGATTCACAATAAGCTTAAAAAGGTCTTGAGGATTCAGTTGTGACGGCAATTCAGCAGCAGCCTGGGAAAAAATTCAGTAGTCTAACACAATGAAAAAAGAAAAGAAAAAACACTAAACAACCTTCCTTTTCAGTAATAAAAATGCATGAGAAGATCGGAGAGTTTTGAAATGAAACGAGTGAGTCAAACAAAAAGACGGCCACGTTCCTTTTTGAAAATGATTCCTTGCAGCACATGAAAATCCATGTAGTTTGAAAAGATAAATAATTTCTTTATAGTTTGGGCCTTAAATTGTTGGCCAGCTAATATAAGAAGCCAAGATGTCTTTCTCTTTATTTCCTCATTAAGTTTGCCTCAGTTTAAAGCAGCTGAAGCCGGATATCAATAAAAAAAATATAGAGAAGTGAAAATTAGACTTATTTGTACACAAGACATCCCCCCTTATATTTCCTTTTCAAAAATAAAATAATTTGAATTTATTTTTAAAAATCGCAAGTTAAAACAGGAAAAGCTCTCGAGAAGCTTTTTGTAGTTTTACCCTTTGAATCAAATAACTGAAAGGCTGCCGGTGTTTCCCTTGACTGTTTCTTTAATCATATTAGCTGGCATTATCAAGCCAGGCCGGCATCCTCCCCATGAATCATGTCACCTGACGGCTGCATATGCGAGAATCTCCATTCAGAGCGCCATTGGGATGGGCTATAAATAAGCTCAGTCACATGACGGCTTTTTCTTTCCGCTTCCACTATACCTTCAGCCGCCGTCTTTGAATTTGATCAAATCAAATTATACCCAGTTCTGACCTCTGTGGCCCCAATAAGCCATACATCTAGCAGGACCGGTCACATCACTCCTCTCAGGGTCGCTCCTCTGTTTTTTTTGTTTTTTTTTTGCCCACACCCTCCCTATCACCCCCCCCTCCCCCTCTCCCCCTTGCTGTCTGAGTTGTCCTTTAGTGATTTAATTCAACTGGATCAGATTGATGAAGAGAATGTGACAGAAGTCTCCAGAATATAGCTAAAATATGATGTCGGTAAATAAATAATATCTGTCTGTACCATGTCTAAGTTGTACAAATGCCATTGGTTTAGAATAGGATCATATTTTTTAGTGGGTCAGATTGTTTTATTTTATTTAGTGTGCGAATGAATGCAAATCAAATATTCTTGTGGAGTCTGGGCGACGTAACAGCTCGCTTTTCTCGTGTTTGCAGGCTTATACCATTCAAGGACAGTACGCGATCCCGCATCCAGATGTGAGTGCTAATCCCACGCGGCAGCAGACACGGCACTCTCCCTCTCACTGTCTCGCTGCTCTCAGAGTTCACTCCTTTTCTCTCTGATTTTTCTTTACGGACTCATTCATATTAGCGGTTAATATTAATACAGCTTTTTTTTTTTTTTTCCGATGTGCATCTCCTGTATCTTTCTCTTATTCTGCCTCTTTACCTTTCTGTCCTCTTTGGGGATCAAATTTATAGGCTTGGCCTGGAAAGAGTGAGTTGATTTGGGAAAATAAAAAAATCGGATCTGTGACAGAATCTTGTAGAAATTTAAAAAAAAAAAAAGGTACGATTTTAATCGCTCGCCAAACCACGGATGCATGAACATGACGTAAACTCAGCTGGAAACATTTGCAGCGGCTAGTTTTATTTGGGCGTCGCTCCTGCAGATTTGTTTGGATATTCCAACATATGGAGCTATGCACCAATTTTTTTTTTCCCTTTCCCCAGTTTAAGGAAAACACTTTGACTTGTGCCTCCCTCCTGAGGTACTTTTGTTCCTGGAAGTAATAACTAACTTCTCGAGTGCTTTCCAGGTTTCTGTACTATGCTTTATCCACCAAGTCTTCCACAAAAGAAGCCTTTCTATAATGGTGGAAAACACTTAAACCTCAAAGGTCCAGGTTAAAAAGTGTTAAACGTACACATATTATTAAATAGTTCCATGTCATAAAGCAGTTTCAGTGTTACCAAATGAAAATCGGGACATGTAATTGTTCAGATGTGGAGGTTAAACAATTTTTGAGGAGAGGAGAAAGCCAACTCAGGTCATCTGTCTTCACTAGTGGGAGAGCACATCATTCCAAAATCCAGTTTTCGCTGTTTTACACACTTAAAAAAAGAGAGGTATGTAAAAAAAAAAAAACTCTATCGTGGCAGACCAAGTTGGATATTTCAGTTGCTCCTGAATGCTCCAGTCAGGCCAAGTCCTTTTTGAGCTTCTTTTCTCCTCTCTTCTTTTCTGTCTCATTATCTTTCCTTTTTTTTTTTCGTTGTTTTTTTTTTTTTGCCCCCCTTCGTTGCCTGTCTGTGTCGTTACTCCTCCTCAGATCCTCTCTTTAGTCTTGGTAGAATTTTCGGACAGACCTCTATACGTGCGTCGTGTGTGTGTGTGTGTGGGTCCGTGTGTGTAAGCGTGCGCGTCAGAGTGTGTTTTTTAACGATGACCTCATAGCTCTGCTGTCCTCCTCCTCCCCCCCTCAGCAGTTGAGCAAGCTCCACCAGTTGGCTATGCAGCAAACCCCCTTTACCCCCCTTGGACAGACCACCCCTGCCTTCCCCGGTACGTACCCACCTACACAATGACCCTCTTCACCAAAGCTCCTTCTCTCGTTTTTACCTGTAGAGACAAATACATTCTCTTCCTCCTTTTATTTCTCTTTCTCTTCCTTTCCTGTATCTGTCCTTTTCTCTGGTTTCTTCTTCTCGCCATTCTTTTCCTTATGGTCTCTGTGGTGCACTGCCAATGACATGGCCTGCTGGTGGTCTGCTCTAGTAGATGTTGAGGTTTCTTTTGTTTTTTCGTATTGTTTTTCCCCTTAGAATCCTTTTCACGAACGAGGCTACTTCATTTTTTTTTTTTGGTATTTAGGGAGTCCATCTTCAATTGTTCTGCATGTAGGCGACGTATAACGCGCTAAAGGCTCTGCACAGGCCTGAGCTACGTTTGTGTGTGACTGATATTCTGCTGGTCAGTTAGTAGAGCTCACCAATCGCTCCTTCAACATGCCCAACTGTTTTTCTGTTCTCTTGCCTCCCTTCTCTCTCTCTCTCTCTCTTTCTGCCTGCTTCCTGTGTTCAGCAGCAGGTCTGGATGCCAGTAACCAGGCCAGTACTCATGAACTCACCATTCCCAATGATGTGAGTACATTCGTGGATGAAAATGTCCACCGATGCATTTTTCGTTTGCCAGTGCTTGCACACAGCAGCGATTTGAAACGAGACGTTTGTCATTGGAAAGCTGACAGTTTATGCATAACAATGGGCCGCGCTTTGACTTGGGTGGTGAAAAAGGTTTCCGAGACAATGTCTCCGACGGTCTTGCAGAAATACCATGGGTCCACTGTTCTTGCCAGCCACACTTATTCAGCAGTTTTATTCAGTAGCCGCTTTCTGATCTTTTTGTCCTGCTGCCAGCATCCTCAGACCACAATGTGGCACAATATGGAACGTTTCCATTAAGCACAGTGTATCAGAGCTTTCCCAAAATGCACGACGCTCAGAGTGACATTGATCTCACAATAACAAACTCATAGTTGACTGTCAAAGGTCAGTTTCCAATAGAACACAATGATTAATCCCCCATTTAAGGTTTCAATCATGAAATAAGCTTTCCCAAACACAGTCGAATGCGCCCTAAACAGAGCGCGTCAGGAGCCGGCTTCTATCAAAGCCAAAATTCCCAAAAATGTTGTTGGATCACTGTTTCTTAAGCTATGTTTCCTTATTTTTTCCAACATGGCTTTTGGATCAAATTCTAAGCAACACACGCTGCAGTCCCCTTTTCCATAGCAGGGATACAGTAAAGCTGTAAGGACTCAGATCTGGGTAGTCGGTGACTTGATGGAGTCAGGACCACATAATAAAAGTTGTCGTCGAAAAAGGACGTGTACTCGACGGACCTGTACTCATGCGCATCACAGAGGAAGTCCCCATGTGCTCTTCCATTCTAAGTCCCACCCCCGTTTTCTTCCCAGCTAATAGGCTGCATAATCGGACGCCAGGGAACCAAAATCAACGAGATCCGTCAGATGTCTGGGGCGCAGATCAAAATTGCTAACGCCATGGAAGGGTCATCGGAGCGCCAGATCACCATCACAGGGACCCCCGCCAACATTAGCCTGGCCCAGTACCTCATCAATGCAAGGTCAGAACTTTAAAGTGTTGTAAACCTTCCTTGTTAACGTTTATGTGCCACGAGGGGCACGTGTGGAGCAAAAATTACTTACTTTAGTCTCACCCTCCTTAGGTTCAGAGATGTGGCGGCCATGTGGAACGACCCATCTTCCATGACCACATCCTGAGATCCCTGACTGGCTCTTCTGTTTGGCCCTTTCTAATGACATGACTACCGCAGACAACCCTGATGAAGCCCTTCGAACTCTGGCTCTGGCTCTCCGAAAAACCCTGACCACCTCCCCCTCCCCTGGTTTTAAGAAACATCAGGGAGGGTTTGGCGCTTGCTTTTATTTCAGAGAGCTAAATTCAATTAAAAAAGATTGAGAAAAAAAAATGACAAAAAGACGAAACTCTCTGTTGATTAGATTTTTCTTAGAAAACTGTTGAAGCATGTTGAATGTTTATTAGGAACAGCTTGTGTTTGATCTTTCTTCTTTTTCTATCTGTCTATTGCTTTTTTCTCTCTGTCACTGCTGCGTCATAGAACATTTAAAAGTATAAAAAACATTTTTGTAGAACGTAGCTACTTGCATATTACAGTACAGCTGCTCAGTGATGCTATCGGCAGAGTGTGTGGTGGGATGTAGCTAAATTATCAAACTTTGATGAAATATTTTGAAGAAAAAAAAAAAAAAGCAAAGGACTGTTCTGTTCTAGTCCTGATCTGCATCTTTGTCTAATCTCTGCCCGTGACTCTTTGCTGCATCACATGACCCTTTTAAGCCAATGGTATCACTCCTTGAGCTTTCCTTCTCATGTTAATTTCCTCTATTTACATAATTGCTTATATTGCATGTACTCAGTGTCGTATTGTTGTGCATTTCAGTAATCCTGTTCTGTGTATGATCCCTTTTAAGTGTTTAGGTGACATCTTTGCTTGGCTCCTGTTCTTTTCCACAACTTTTTTTCAGCATTTCTGGCCACTCACGTCGAGTCCTACCCCCTGCCCAGACAAAAAGCTTTCCAACATAGCCTCCTTTTATTGACACCGATTATTAGTATTTAGATGCATGAATGGGAATTAGTGAAAAATCAGTGGCTAAAACGCTGATGGAAAATCGAAATGATTGTTTACTAACTTATTATATTGTATTTGTTTTGTACAAGGACTATTGTGACGTAGCACATTAGTCAACTACGCGGCGCTCATGCAATAGACTATTCAACACTTTACACTGGACTGCCTCTGATGTGGGAGGATTAGTTGGACTTAAAAGCCAGGTGTTGTGTCCAAACTTTTTGGCTTCCTTGCCTTGTCTTAGAAGAATACCCGCTAAGCTGCTTGTGGAAGCTTTAAAGAGAGGTTGTTGTTTTTTTAAATCGAGGGGAAGAAGCCGAATCTTAACTGCAAAGAGGCCTGAACGTTTGGACCAATCCGAATGGTATTACTGGGGCCAAGGAATGTTCAGGGGTTCGTTTTGGGGGGGGAACCCACAGGGCCTGGGCGGACGTGACCACTCAGTCTCTTTTTCACGATTGTTCATCTTGTTACATTCTTTTAATTGTCATGCGGTTGATTTGATGCTTTAGGTTTGAATGTCTTTTCATGTCATTACTATGTCAGCAACTTCAATGTTTTCGTTTTAAAAAGGACAAGCTGTATGGCAATTCCTGCTTTGCTGATTTTTTTTTGGTAAAATCAGCGTGTATTTATCTATGGTGTGGTGGTGCACATGACTTGGGTTCATCCATTATGAAACTAAAATGAGTTTTGCTCAATTGTACCCAACGTGAGGGGGAGTTGAGGATGATAAGTATAAGCTTTAGGAAGACAACCACGCTGTGCATCTCTTACTTGGGAAGATAATGGTCATCTGGCTCATCTTTCAAAGCATTTGCTGAACTGTTGAATGTTATCGTAGAATCACCTGAATTATAGTCCAACGCGCTAATGCTCGGCGTTTATGGCAGGTAAATTTCCCTATACATGCGACGGCTTTTGTTATAGTTCTTTTAGCCTACATAGAGCTTAGATATGAGAAACTTTGATATTTTGGGAAGGATGTTGATTTGGATTATTAAACTGAACAATAGAAACTACCTTTTACATCTCTATGTGAAATGTGAGGCAGTTTACGAAATTTAGCATTCATTTTGAAACATTGGGAAAATTCTCCACACAGGAGCAACACCTGAAATAAATCTTATACCTTAAAAGTTTGTCTCGAGGGTCTATTTGACCTACTGATACAAGTATATTGTTTCACATTTGTCTGATACCTTTCAGCAAAATTAATGTCAAACATTTGGTCAATCAGTCCGTCCCATTTAAGATTTTTCATGTGGATTTTGGTGTTAAAATTTTGACAGCATGTTGTCAATGGATAGCTAGGTAGGTTGAGAACGCTGACTGCTAACTTCACTGGGCATGCTAGCTAATGCATTTAAACCAATATTTATTCAGGGATTACATCTAAAATAACTACAGTGAAGCCAATACCTGACAAAAATCTAGCTAGCATTGGTATGCGTTTTGTATAGCTTTGGAGTTAAACTAATTCAGTTAACCACCAATGCCAAATTTAGCATACAGAACTGAAATAGGTGCCTGGCTAGCCTCATCCATTTCCTAGCAAGGAGGATAATCCCAAAAAGTTTAAGCGTTTTAATGTCATACAGTAAAAGTGAACATGAAAATGGACCAAATTCTGTTTTCAACACATCGATCGATGCTTGGTCAGTCAATACTCTGCAATAATTCCTACACATTGACGTGAACTCTAGTAGTTGTGCAAGCACTGAAACAATGGATTTATGGTTATTTCCGTTCACGTCTTTGCTTGTACTTCCATGGGAGTGTTTCAACAGGAAATTATGTTGTCATTTTTTTGGTTCGATTGCTTTTTAGAACAGTTCACTCATACTTAAAAGGGTCATTCTCCGAATTACTCACAGAAGGGAAGTGAAGAGCATCCTCAAGGGTATTGTGGCTTTTGTTTTGTTTTTTACTTAAAGTTTTAGTGCATGTGTACAACTGAAATGTTTGCTTAAGCTTAAAAAGAAAAAAAAAATCAGTGATTGGGAAAGTTTCAAACAGAGCTGGAGGGTGTGTTTGACCAATTTGGTCTTGTTGCGTAATAAGAAACTCGCAAAGCAGGAATACTGAGTTTTAAATAATGGCAGTGTGATTTCAGTAACATCAATATTAATGTGTTACTTCGTGTTTGAAGCTATATTTACATTTGTGTATATGCCTGACTATACTATGACTTTGAAACAAACTGCAACTAATGCAATAATAGGGTGCAATGTGCAATTATCTATTCAGTTATTTGCTTATTAGTTCATTAGTAACAGGAAAAGGTGTGTAGCTTGTCGACGTTTTATTTATTATTTTTTTCCACATTCCATGTGGCAGCAGCAGGAAAATAAAATAAACAAATGAGATCTTTTTTTTTTGTTTTTAAACTTTTGTTTGTGTGTATTGCAGTTTGAGGGTATAAAAAAAGTGATAGAACTTTGTAACTATTTTTGATTAATTTATTTGCAATGTGCAGATCTATATTAGTTGTGAGTAATTATATAGGTTTTAATTTCAAAGTGTTGGTAAGTAAAAAATCAAATAAAGTTTCAATTTTTCTTTCTGTGACTTGTTTTTCTCTGGTTTTTGACTGACAAGTCTAATGGCACTGCAGACATTAGGGGGGAGTTAAAAGATAAGCTTACACAGATCTTTATAGTATTGGTTACAGCCAATTATTATACTAATAAGGTGATCAGGTTTAGATGTTTTCTGTAAGTTATAGATTACAAAGAAAGATTTAAAAACATCATTCATGTGTTACATGAGGTGCAGCTCGTTGTTGAGAGCATAATTTGTCCCCCATTTTAACTTTGAGGTCTGTTGCTACCATGAGCTTTAATTTGATTTTCATTCTATTTGGAGAATGATTAAATAGCGAGAGGGTTCCCGGTTCGAGGCCCCCAGGGGACTGGGACCTATCTCTATGAAATTTGCATTATCTTCCTGTGCCTGCAAGGCTTTTCTCCGGTTAGCCCTCTCACTCAGTCCATGAGTGACGCGTGCGTCCAGTGAAATGCATTTAGTTTACAAGGTTACTGAGTGCTGCTAAAAGCACCATCGTCTTTTCAGCATAAGGAAAAAGAGCCCGGGGCAGCCCAGTAGAGACGGAAAGCTGCCGAGGTTCGGGTACAGTAAATCACTCAGATAACTGGAGGAACTCGACAAATCTTCGAACATTCATTCACTTCCGCTTCAGTGTGTTGACATGAATCGTCTTGACATCGAACCTGTGTGGCGCTTTGCTGGGGCGGATGCTGAACATCCAGAAGCCATTCGGAGCCCGTCCGCAGCACGCCACGCAGCCGTCATCTGTCAGATCGATCGTGTACCTTCCGATGAAGAACGCTTGCCTGTATGGGACGGAGGAATAACAGAAGAAAGCATTTCTCCAACTCTGGAAAGCCAAGTTGTTTGACATTTCTGCATCACATTAAGACACGTTGGGAGGTTTGGTCGGGGTGGGCCTCGGGAGAAATTGGGAGCGCAACGACGCTCCGAGCCCGGATTTGTTCTCGGGTTGGGAAGTTCCTCGGGAGAGAGAGAGCTTGTTTGGCGTCAATCCTGGTCACTTTGCGTGGTTTATCTTTAGAAAACACATATGCCTTCAAACGCAAGACGACGCCGGGAAATGTGAGGTTCACGAGAGCACGTTTTGAGGTAAACGGATAATGCCTTGTGCTTCTTCGGCTGGATTCAAGGGTAGATTAAGATTTTCTTGGCGGGAGCCAAGAAGCTGTCTGAGAAGTTTATGGGCAGGAAGGCTATAATCGTTGGCCCAGGTCCAGCGCAGGGCTTTACTGTGTGTAGTGGAAATTTATGAGCTGCTCCAGCAGCTGACAAAGCGCAACCCCTGTTTCACAACAGCCATGCTATCCCATAAATTAAAAGCACTTTAAGATAGGTGGATTTCCAGGAGTACGTTAGAAATACAGATTGTTGTTTATTATTAATCTCATTTCAAAACGGGGAACCGCGGCAAAAAGTCACCAGAAGATACTATCCAAATTCAAGCCTATTATAATTATTTAAATTGGGAATACGATCACAAATCAAATCAAATTAGATGAATTGAATTCTAATTTGGTCTGATTTACGCATGCC